CCCATCCACCCCCAACCCCATACTCCGAGTGGTCCCAACGATTGGATGACCTGAAAATCATTATTATTGTACTGTTTACTGTATCATGAGGTGATGACGATGAGCACATTGGGGATGATCTGGTATATATGCTGCATAATATACTTGGAATGTTCAAACTGAAACTGAAACTGAGCTATAAGATACCAATGAAATCTCCCGTACTGAGAGATGTGTGCTCAGATGTTTATCTGTTTAAGGATACTTCTCAACAAGTCGTGATCTACCGGGCATATTTACATCAATTGGATAAAATACCCAGATTCTTAGCTACAATTTTAGTGTATCTATTAAGATAGAGCATTGATATGTTTTAGACCTCGTTGACTTTGGCACAGAAAACAAAATTTTTCGCCTAATGCACAAAATACTAGTAGAAAATAGCCCATCAAGTTTTCTGAACAACAGCATAAACAATCTCCGGGTTAGTAAAATGAATAACCAAAGACACGATATAAACCCAAATAAATTGTTTTCGAAGGCAACAAGCCAACTCACAGGAAATTAGTATAAGAATAATATTTTTCAAATTGGATAATTCGAGAAAATTTTAGGATTCATTGCTTATTAACTGTCAACAAACCTAACCATGACTAAACCACTATTGTTGACGTTATTTTGCAGTAACTGAGACATAGTTAACTAAACAATCGCTGTCTTCCTCAAACCGAATTCCCCGTTTTCAGGCAATGAATATGCGCACTGCGTTTTGGTAATTAATAGTGCCCCTGATTATCATGTATTCGTATCATTGAGCATTATCTTTGCTCCCTCTTTGCCAACGCTGGGATGAAGATCACATTGATAACTGCTTTGTTATTCAAAAAATGTATATTTGGAGGCCAAACGCTACAGCAAAATGGTTTTCATCAGGAGCAAATAATCAAACTCTCCATTATGTTACCAATTTACTGATTGAACGCAGTTAAAAATGTCTATTCCCACCACATTGAGCTAATATAGCACCATAAAGTCCAATATAAAAGAACAATAGAACCCGGCTGGGCCTCTTGAAACTGTGACAAAATCGTTTCATTTCAAGCCCAAGAAATTGTGGAATTGTAAGCAAAATCCCCAAGAATGCTGGAATATTCTACCAAATTTTAAGTTCAGGAGGAGTTGTTGTATCTGGTTGGACACTTCTTACAGCTGAACATTCACAAATACTGAAGAATATTGTTCAACGCATTTTTATCTCTTCCAAATGAGTGAATAAATATAAAAATAAACTGACCTTAAAACCAAGGCTGTTGAATAAACTGCAAAGTGACTTAAATCGGGACCTTGACGAATTCGAAATGTAAGTGCTTTTGATTAATTTCACACAACCTTATTTGTATACTACCGTATCACAAATTGTTGATGACTTAGGACAAAATTTATGAAAACTGTAAACTCATTAATTTTTAAGAGCTGCCCCTGTTGCCTGCAGTTACAGTGAAACATACATATGATCAAAATTCATGCAGAGTTCTACAAAAATAAATAGAGAGTTTCTTGGAAGGACATATAAACACCTTCAAAATATCCTGTAATGATAGAGTTTCGATCACTATTAGCTGACATAAATCAATTCATATGTAACACGTTTACAAGTAGACGGTCTTTTGTTTTTAGAGTACTTTTTAAATGCACTTGCTACATCGATCCCTTTCCCTTGTAAAAACAAGCTAGATATATGCGGCGAAGTACTTGGAGATATTTTGTTTTCAGAAAGCTAAGCAGCACCGTAAAGGATTTAACAATCAATCCTGATAAAATGGACAGTTCACTATTATATTGACTTTAGTTCCATAAATCCCAATTTCAGAGCATAAATGAGCGTGAATGTGCACTAAAGAATGTATGGCTGAAGTACTGTTTAATTTGAAATGACAACAATGACATGGATTAAACACAAATGTTTCCTAAAACCGAGCCGCTCCACAGCAGACGATTCACCTGCAGTTGTGCAACTACAAATTGACTCTAGTCCTTAGTAAACACTTCAGTGAGGTGAAACATACCCGTTTTGCGAAGGAATTCATCAGCCTTGTGGTAGTGTGACGTTTGATATGAGTAATAGCGTTGTGGTTAGTTAAATGAAACACCATCAGAACCTATCACAAACTGAACTGTTTGTGCAACATAAAACTCGAAAAAGCAAAGACAAAACAGAAAACCAAGTACAATATAAACAATCTATTCTGTGCAAAACACTTAAACACTGATGCGCAGCACAAAATAAAACACGATAAAATAACTTTCAGTAGAGAATGTCAAGCAATAAATGTGTAACCTTGTGTGGAAAACAAAAGAAAATGGAACTTGAATTCGGGATTGCGGAAAATAGAAAAGACAGGGGCAAGTGTTATTAGAACAGTATATGAGGAACGACCGGTTCACGAAGTTTAAGACAACCTATGTTAATGAAAGAATTCATCTCTGCTAAGCTGCTCTCAGTTGATATCCGGTTTAGTTTACTGAGAGAGGAAAATGTACTACTATAAAAAACAGTGCTGAAACTCTCAAGAGAATAACTGCAGCACACAAAGGTTTCAAGCAAACGGATGTAAATGCAAAGAATTAATAGCATATCGAGTTGAAATAATGTAAACGAAATGGCGCAGCACAAGTGTTATTATCTAATCCAGAAATCATGGAAAATATCACCATCATAAAGAAAGTTATATTGCTTAAGCTACTTTTGCAGTAACATCTGCGTGGCTCCATGATGTGTTTTTCATCCTTTCTACTTGTTTAATCCAGCCAGGCCCGGAAATGTATTTAAACAGGTCTCTCCCATCACACTAAGAAGTTGATCCCGATAAGATTTGGCTTTGCGAAGCATCACATCCAGGCAGGGACCCATGAGACGTTCGAAACATGAAACGTCCAGAACTGAAAGGAAAAATGTATCATTCGAGAAATAAGTATGGATAATGACGTACAGACTTAAGTGTGGTATGAAATAAATTTTGATGGTCTTCGTGGATCTTTTGATGGACCCATTCAAAGCAAGGATAACAGAGCAAACGGTACTTCCCCACCAAAGAATACTAGTGAAAAATACAGCGGTTGTAAAATCAGACATGTGCATAACATTTTCCAAGCTACATTGGTTTGTTTCCCGGTACTTTCGGAATCCAACTGTTTTCGACACTATAAGAATGTGAAAACTTTCAGTTGATGCTTTCCCTTATTTTTGGTGCTGAAACCCCCTTACCATTTTTCATTGCAGTTCAATGTTGACAAATAGCCCTAGCATATAACGCTTGTACTGCTGAATTTAAGTTGCGCAGGCACAAGACAGCGTATGAGGTTGAATGTGGATTTCACTCATTATGTTTTGCTTTTATTCACATTTTAAAACGCATTTTATCTACAGTGAAATTTTCTTTGAAGGAGCATTAAAGAAAACTCGACGACCCTTTCGTTTTTTTGTGTTACATGTTAGTACTACATACATTTAATTTTTTGTAGAGACGTGAGTCGCCAACCTTCCGGTTAGGAGTCGAGATCGTTATCCTCAAGTTGAAAATCCCAAATATACCGGATTGGACGGTTGGTAAGATCCATTAGGAGTCTTATATTTCGGTTAACTACATCAACTTTTACAAGTCAGTAATAGTTTTCCAGTGCATGTTGTCCGTCATCCCCAAAACATTTTGTGAGAAATTCACCGAGAAATTACGGATGATTCAGTGCTAAAAAAGGTGTAATACACGGAGCAACGTCACCAAATTATCACCCCGGGGATGTGTATTCGAATCCCATTACCACCGTCTGACTTCCCCATTTGTGTGTTGTACGGTAACCCTTTGGTTGGCCGCTTCCCCCTTCCTGAAAATTGTATCATTATCTATTCAATAAAAGGAAGTAAAAAGTGAAAAAATACACTTGATAACCACACAGGCTGTGCAAATTATGCTTTGGATGATCTGAGTGTCACCAATAGGATACTTGCTGGCAGTTAAAACATTGAGTACCACTAGTACCTTCATTTGGCAAGTAAGGTGAACAAAATGGTCTACAAGGCTTCCAAGAAAGAAGCTTTGGTGACAATTTATAATATAACTCGTGAACAACAGAGGATAATAAACTGTTGTTCCTAATAATTCTTCTCTTTCAAAGCCAATACATTTCACGTACAGTGTTGAGTGACTGTAAGCTAGGATTAGTGATAAGTACTTGTAGGTTATATGAATTGACTAGCAAACCTCTCAGAAAACGGCGTTTGTAAATCGAAAATTCGATCACTCCATCAGGTCACATTTCAAGATTTCGAGATATGAAAACAAACTTTTACTAGGAAAAATCATATTATCGTTGGATTTATTACTTTCCTCATTTCACTGTGCCTCTACCTGTCATCTCTGTTGGTTTGTTCTAATTGCAGTTCAATTGAAAGAAATGGAAAGGGCATATTCTCCTGTCGTGATTCCGAATGTATAATTCTCACATCAAATACATGGATCAGACAGGAGATTTGTATACCGAAGAGAGACATGGTGTGAAGAATTTATTCGCTGTATTAGGTTTTCTGGGGTTGGATGAACTGGTGAACTCTACTCCATCAAGCGTGATAGACTGATTCAAAAGATACCCCGGATGACGAATAACATGGATTTAAGATGTTGTAAACGGATATCTCGGGTTTTTGTCGCAATGTAGACAGATAAAAGTTCAACAGGCCAAACGAGCCCGGATACGTATAGGTTGAGAGTTGTCCTGCGCATTAAAGATGATGATATTAGCTGATTAGTAACTAAGCGTTCTTAGGCGCACCTACAATTCAGCTGAATATATCCTTGTCTTCCCAACAACTCAGTCGTTAATTTTATCTCCCCACGCTAAATTCAACTGTATTCCGTGGAATGAAAATATGGGAAGCACTGTATAGCTGTTTCTACCTGATTGGGTTTTATCAGCAGTGCTAGTCCGTTGACCTAACTGAGGATCGAACCCGGGATCTCACGGACAGAACATGAGAACACTACCAACCCAGCCACCGGACAGCTGATCAGACACAGTGCTGAGGTGAGCGTGATTCAATGCCCGCAACATGGTCACAAAGTTGAGTTGTGTGTTATCATGTACAAGGAAAATGAAAAACGGTTCAAACAGCTGACTGTTAGTTGAGTGTGTAGCACGTTTTCCTTCTGCCTGTGGGGTTAGTGGAGCGATCCCCAGTTGGGTCGATGAATTCGCACTGTTGATGAGACCCAATCAGATCGAAACAGCTGGACAGTGATTCCCAGGTTTTCACTTTACACTGCACTTGCTCTATACCCGACGAACTCCACTATTTAACTGTATTTATTAACTCAAATGTGGATATCCAATCATTTACTTAGGTAGAACGGAGCGACAACAGCGTTTGCGAGTAAGCAAATGCATTGTGATCTGGCTTCATGAGATAACGACTGGAATCTTTGAAAGTAAGATTTCAAAGATGACACATGATGAACTCAGTTTTTCTATGAAACAGTATCGTGTCACAATCAAGTGTTATAGCTCCAAAATTCGGTGCCTGGACAAAGGTATTTATCTATAATGAATAATGGTCGGGGTGTCAGTAAATTGGCAATCATACAACAAAACGTCTCATTTGCAACGACTCTTCATAAGTTTCACATGTACACGGGATAGGTAATAGAACGACCCAAAAGTAGATGCGCATTCTTGTAGTTATCAAACTGAACACAGAACTTCGTTTCAACAGGTCTTGTTCAATTCAGACCGTTGAAAGAAACAGGCAATAGGATCCTTTTGCGTACTACTCACAAATGTCATCAGTATCTCATAACTGAAGCAATGCTTCATATATGTATATGTATCTTTGTATATATGTATATATTTATATATTTAACACCGGCTTGCAGACAAGCATAGTGCCAACTCCACAACAATAATAACAATAATAGGGGGCAGATGAATTGGAATACAGAACAAAGTGAAAAGAGGGTGAAACAGTTAACCACGGGAGGATGGTAGATTTCTGGGATTATTTCCTTTACCAATCCCACTAGGATTCTCGAATGCTTTCAGGCAGTACGCACTCAAAATAACCGTTATTAACTCTGTGAACAGCATAAATGTTTCACCACTGAGACTACTTTGGTAATAGACATGTACGGTGAATGAAGCTGTTTTCGACCTTTTTGGACACAAGGTCTTGTAACGTATAGCCGTACATTGTTTAAACCCGGCTCCGCCTCGCAAATTGTCAGTAGCGGT